CTCAGGGTCGGCTTCGGCCGCACCAACCACCTCCGACCAACTCCCGCCTCCGGTCTTTTTGACTTAGCCACGACATGGGGACCAGGTTGGAGGGAGAAAAAGGTGGAGGAAGAAGAGGGAAAGGGGAAGGGGGAAGAGAAGGAGGAGAACGCGTGGTAGGTGTGGCGCAATCATAGCCTCACGGTAATCTAATTCACGCGCAAATCACAAGCCCTGTGTGTCCACCCTGGTGTGGCGCGCATAGGATGGACACAGTGTCGATCGTTCTATTCCATTCACATTGGCAACCTCATAGTGGCCTGTTTCCGAGAAATGACCAAAATTCTCCTCTCAGGGGCAAACTGCATTCAGGGCAGATCGCGCATAAATTGAAAACAACAAATAATTTGCCAATACAAGCGAACATATGAGTCACAGGAGGAAATAATTGAGAACAAGACGAATCGATCGCTGGGACAATATGTTTATTTGCCTGACGTTTTAACATCCGTCATGGATTCATCATCAGAGACATAGTCACATAACAGCAGCAGATACAGGTAGTTTGTGCAAAGGAGTCTGCCGTAAATTTAAACGTGCAGAAAAAATCGATAAATGCTTGGAGTGTGCGTTGATTCACTACGTCAGCAATGACCATCTGGCCCTGCGCTGTTGGCATAGGATGATGCTGCTGTTCTGTGATTATGTCTCTGATGGTGAATCCGCAACGGATGTCGAAACGTCAGGCGAAAAAACATATTGTCCCAGCGATCGAGTCATCTTCTTCTCAACAAATAATTTTATTGACGATAAGGTCCTTTGGGACAGGATGCCATTTTTTGCGTGAATTTTCTAGTCTGGTTCCCCCAGCCCAACTAAGAAGGGATGCGAATTCATACTAACACCAGAAAATACTATAGTTAATAAGGCTGGTACATGCACGCTGGAAATCGTGTTGTCACAACTTGTATCGGGCTAGTAGTGGACTGAAGGGTTAAAGAAATTTTTATTAAATAATTATAAATCACGTTCTACAAGTGCCTTTAGGTCGCAATGTAGAACCATTTGCCGGTCCTCTGGCTTACTTTATTTATCTGCAGTACCTAGCTTAGAACTTACAAAGCATCTCCTGTCTAACTTAGTAAATTCCTATAACAGTATCAATAGCTATTTAGGAGGTTTTGCAGATTTGTTTGATTTAGTTGACTGGATTGTGAAAAAATTCGCGAAATACGGCGGGATTTGAACCCGCATATTAGGGAAGGCCTTTACGCATCCAACGCTCTACCAGTTGAGCTACAAATGCCACAACTTGCGCCGTGAGTTTAATCACAGTTGGGTCGACTTTTCTCGCCCAACTTTACCACTCGCATGGAATCCGTCAATACAGAACAGCAAGCTGACTGCCCAAGCGGGATTTTCTAAGCAATCATCTAAAATCTAGTGTGATTAAACTCATGGTGCAAGGCGTGGCATTTTTAGCTCAAATGGTAGAGCTTTGGATGCGTAAACACCTTCCATACTATGCGAGTACCAATAGCGCCAAGTAACCACACGGACGCGGACCGCAAAGCTATCATCGAGTCACGAGGGTGGTCGCGTGGCCTCTACTGAGCATGTAGTGCCTCTATCACCCCGTTTCTGGGATCATCTCTGATGATGGGTTCAAGCGAGAATGCGAGAAGTTGGGCTAATAAACTGCTTGTCCCAGTGATCGCATCTGCAACTGCTTCCTGGAACTCGCCTGTTCGCTGCTTTCAATCCACGAGACGCCTCTAAAAATGCCTATAACTGCCCATGTTCAAGTTCAAACAGCAAACCAGCATCCCAAAAACACTGGAAAATTAGTTCAACGTTATGTCGGTAATGTTCTTCCAACCATAAAACTAATCCCTATGCGGCTGCTAGCAGGGCTTGAGCGTGAGGCCCCAGGGCACGATGGGAAGACTGAGTCCCCCAACTGATCAGTGACCCTCCTCATCCACCAAAGTTACTACTCTTAACCGACAAAACAACAAGTTGATGGTATGGTCGACTGGAATGGCTATTTCTGGCTTATTAGCCGTCGTCAACCAGTCATACCTTGCCCCAAGTGGTTTCCCAACCGAGTTTCGAACTTAGGGCCATTTTGATCAGAGTCAAACGCCCTAACCATTGAGCCACGAGCTCGTTGTCTCGGTCAGGGGATATTGAGCCCGTGGTTCATTGGTTAGAACGTTGGACCTCTGACCAGCAGGTCGCGGATTCCAGCCGCAGATGCTGTAACAGATGCAGATGCTGTAACACCTAAATTTGTTTATAGAGGGCTGCTGACTACTGACTACTGCTTATAAGCCAGAAATGGTCATTCGAGGCACCCTTGTCTTTAAGTGTAGTGTTTTCTTGCCCAGGCTTTTAATGCTTAGGAAGCAATTAAAAAAGCAGACTGTTTAAAAATGTAGACAAGACTGTCTTTAGAGGTACTTTTTGCCTTTGACCTAACAATAGCTTACTTTTACATTTCTAGTAACCCGACTTTCCCTTTTTCCTGTTAAATTCCGTCAATATAAGACCGAATGTCCCTATGTTCGGTAAATACCGCCAATATACGATTGAATTACCCCCAATAGGCATCAGTTGCCTGAGCAACAGGAGTTTAGGTTAAGGGATTTCATTCTTTTGAGTACATTGAAACAAGTATAAGTTTCCTTAATTTGATATTTTTGATCACTTCCATCAAAATTAAATATTCACTTACACTCACTAACCAAGAATTAAATGTTTGGCTGCAAAATACTTTAGATAGTTGGGCGAGGGGAGTATAGATTTAAGGATCCTTACAAGACGGTTTTGCCAAAATGTCAAATGCAGATAACTTTAAAAGATACACGATCTTCCTCCATAGAACATGTAAACTGACCCAACTTTTTTGCCTCCTGACAAAATTCAATTAAATTTGCCTCGGAGAAGAAGGAACGAAATGGAAATCTTTCTTCGCCAATTGGGTTTACATATAGCCAAACGAATGCTCATTCCAATTAGCCTAATTTGTTCTCGGTATTCCCTCTTCCTTTCTCTCTGGCTTATCTTTTTGTTTTACAAGAATGACCAAAAAAGTCGAGTTCGGTAGATGGCTGTCGATACGTCTAACTGTCAACGCATCAGCCATGCGAGGAGAAGAAAAAACTGAGTGCATCTCTGTGTGTCCTGACAATGCATGGCCGAATGGACGGTTCGCGTTTTTTGTCTGACTCTAACTAGCTGTGACAAGTGCTTGACCAATTGAAACAGACTAACGGGGCCGTTGTCTGCGGTGATAATTGGCAGCACCGCGCCGTGACTTCCCCGCCAAGATTATGGGAGCCTCCCCCCATTCCCCTGTTGTACAGAATGCTCCAGCGTGAACAGTAGTGAAAATTCGATTACCCGATGATAAGTCAGATCGAGTAAGGGCGTTCACTGGGCGAGGTTTATGTAATATCTGACGTTTCGGATAAGTGTCTCGTCTATACATCTTCAAAGAGAGTAAATATTCAGGCTCCTGGCTCTCGCTTCATGCCGCTCGTTTCTTCCGCGTACGTAGTCTGCCCATCCAGATTGAGCCGTATGCCACCAAAAACTCGGACCGAGAAGGGTTACCCACCGACGCCGTGGGGTGGGGGCATGCCGTACATGAAAGGGGTCCCGGAAACCGTGACTAGATCTCGGAATGGGAGTTGCCCATAGGCCTGCCCCCACAATCCGGCAACAAGAAATGCAGCCGAAAGACCCTATGCCGAAGCAGGAGAAATCAGGCGTGGTCTACCGATTTCAGTGCGGTTGCGGGATGTGCAAATACGTTGGAGAAACTGGCCGGCAACTACAAACGCGAATGCATGAACATCAGCTGACGGTGAGAAGACTGAACCAACAGTCGTTGTTTACAACCCTTGCTGCAGAGTTGGATTACGTCTTCGACTTTGACGCCAATGAAATTGTGAGCCAACGTGATGATCACACACCAAGGCAGACTAAAGAAGTCTGGATGTCGACCTACTGTTCGGTAAACCGCCACATAAATTTGCCTGGCTACTATGTTGTATTAAGAACATTCTTATCCGGGGACAATCACGGCGTGGAACAATCGGGGCCACCAACCAGCTCTACGATCAATGCACAACTCCATGAAACAGGTCATGGCGAGATGGGGGCCCACA